GTTTGTACACATGTACATTCTGCTGCTCAGTGTTTCACCGTATATTATTGTTATTTTTCTTCTTATTGTTACTTGTTTAATGCCAGGACAACTGCATTTTCCTAATAGTTAATAAAGGGTGTATTTTATCATTATCTTATCTACTTATCCACAGCAAGGGTTTGAACCAAAGACTTTAGGATCATTTTTAGGAACATTTATTTAAGGTTTCTATCTGCGGATATTTGCTGACATCTGGTGGCAGACTGAGGTAATGCCTGATGAGAGATGCTCCTACACATTTTTCTTTTAATAGTTCCATTACTTTAATTTCATATAAAGTATTCACTTTTGTTCAGATACATCATTATTTATATTTTTAAGTGAGCTTGAACTCAAATGATAAAACATGACGGATATTGGTTTGGAAAAAAGTTGATTAGGGATTTTACGAGGGAACTCAAATCCAAACATTGGTTTAACTGCAGTATCATTAAGAATGTGATGAGTTGAATACTTATTGACTAATACTTCCTCGAAACAAATAACAATTGTTCCAATACTTCACCGGGAATAAAAGCCTCTCAGCAGCTCACATGAAACTACAAAAATACTTCGTCCTCCTGCAGTTTTGATGCATTTATGTGACACCAGAAAGTTTGTGAAATGAATGAAACACTGACCTCTTGCAGACTTCAATGATGGACATCAGCTGTAGTCGGGTTTACAATCCAGATTTGACAGCAAACGGAAGGGAATACATCCACAGAAACTTCCCGAAACACTAATGTAGAATAATCCATTCCTCCTAAACCAATATTTATGTTCCAAAAACGAATAACTTCAAAAACATTTGATTTAAAATTAAAACACAGTGCTCTCGCGACTCAGCAGGGCTCATCAGTACACCTGTTGTCATGTATATAAGTCCCGCCTCCTCCTGCTCTCTCATTGGTCAGAACTCAAGTGGGCCACACCTGCGGATCACAGCTCGTAGGTACGGAAGAGGACAAACGTAACGGGGAACATAAGAGGGGGCTTTTCTTTAAGTATGCATTTCTAAAATATT